TCCGCCTGCCTCTGCCTCCCGAGTGCTGGGATTAAAGGCGTGCGCCACCATCGCCCGGCTACTGTTATATTCTTTAAGTAGTAACTGGAAACTAGGTTCAATTGTAGAAAATATTGAGTTTGCATCATCTGTCAAGCTCAAGTAACAGATTTGATTGGTTATTTGAGCTTTTCAGAATTCATGAATATATGAAGGCTCAGCATTTAGTGGTGGAGCTTAATGGTAGAAATAATTGTTTGGAGGGTCTTCTGAAGTACACTCTACTGTTGACCTAAAAAAAATCCTTGACTGATAAAGTAGTACTGTTAAAATAGACACTTGGGAGCAGAAGTGTAATAGATAATATTAGGAAAGGACCCTAAGTAGTATTTAGCAGCCACTCTATCTGGTGCTTCAGTGCGGTACCCTAAATTTGCAAAAGGGAGAAAACATGAGCAGTAATGGTTTCACGCAGGTTTGTTCTTGAGTGTGTGTTGATTGACAAGCGTCAGAAAGAGACATTTAAGTTTACTATAATCTCATCCATAGTGTTTGCCATTTTCTGTTTTTCGTGAAACAAGGACTTACTTAGTTCCTGCAGTACCGAATGGAAAAATTAGCTAAATTCCTAGGCTGGAGAAGTAATTCCTGTACAAAGCAATACCTTGTGAGTAAATACAGTTCTTTACCTGTAGGAGGTGTGATGATTAAATCTTGGTTGTTAACTTCCCTAGGCTTAAAGTCACTCTGGGAAGATTTCGGGTGTGTGTCCAGAAAGGTTTGAGGTGGGAATTCCCACCCTGGGGGTACTGCCATTCTGTGGGATCTAGGGTTGAGTAAGAAGGATAAAGTGAGCCAAGAGCCAGCATTCATCCCTGACCTGATGCTGATGCAGGGTGACCAACTGCTCAACTCTAAGGTGCTTTTTGGGGTGTGTGTGTATAGTTTTGTTGTAGTAATAAGAAAACTAAGACAAGTGTGGATCAAAAGCTAGGAAAATGGGGCTGGGGAGATGGGATAGTGGTGAGGAGCACGGGCTGCTCTTCCGCAGGACCTGGGTTCAGTTTCAGCAACCACATGGTAGTTCACAACTGTAACTCCAGGGGATCTGATAGCCTTACACAGACAGAAACACCAATGCACATGAGTTAGATTTTTTTTTTTAAGTTGGGAAAATGCAGATAACTGCTTGGTTTAACATCCTTTTATGTTGTTTCGAACAATTTCTTTTACTATTCTGTGATACTTGGCCTCGAACTCACAGAGATCCACCTGCCTCTGCCTCCCAGGTGCTGGTATTAAAGGTGTGGACCACCACTACTGCTCAGCAAGACAGGGTTGGCTTCTTTTTCTTTTTTTTCTTGGCTCTCTGGAACTAGCTCTGTAGACCAGACTGGCCTTGATGCCTCTTCCTCCCATGGGCTGGTGCTGGGATTAAAGAGCACCGCCACTGCCTGTGATGTGTTGTTAAAAGGGATGTTTACTAGACATTTTTAGAAGAGTTGCTAAATGACTTAAAGACTTCGGATAGGATGATGTCATAGAGTTTTATGTGTAGGTTTTTAAAGGCATAGTTGGGAATAAAATCTTAAGATTTGTTCTCAAGGATCAAAAATAGCATTGGGATTTCAGAGTTGATGAAATAGTTGTATTTCTTTCTTTTTTTTTTTTTTTTTTTTTTTTTTTTTTTTTTTTTTTTTTTTTTTTTTTTTGGTTTTTCGAGACAGGGTTTCTCTGTGGCTTTGGAGCCTGTCCTGGAACTAGCTCTGTAGACCAGGCTGGTCTTGAACTCACAGAGATCCACCTGCCTCTGCCTCCCGAGTGCTGGGATTAAAGGCGTGCGCCACCATCGCCCGGCTAATAGTTGTATTTCTTTGCTGATGTAGCCCCCGGCAACTACCTGTGGCCGTGAACATTTAATGGTGAGTAGTATGAGGGAAGCATGTTTTGGGTTCCACAGCTATAGCCTTGTTTAAACATGCCACTCTTTAAAGATTGAGAGGATTTTCATGGAACAGCCCCCTTTGCTCAAGGGAATCTGTATCAGGTGATCCCAATCATGCCTTTTCAGAAGACATTTGTTTTAAATTCCCCATGATGAAGTTGTGCTTTATAGAGAGATTTAATATATGATTAACTCCTCTTTGCTAATCCAGAGTTATTGCATGACAAAATAATGTCCATTCACCATCAACTCTTGAACACACTCAAATACATACAGTGTCTAAGACTGTTGGTGTCTCCAGCTGGAACTATGGAATGGTTTAGCACCAAGGCTTTTGAACTTAATGTGGTCCTAGAAACACAAAAGGATTTAAGTAAGTGGTAAGTTGGGTTTGTGTGTGTGGAGCGTGCAGGAATGCTGGGAATAGAGAGGTTCCAGTCCAGGGTAAAGAAGAGAGGATGGCTGGACGGCTGGGCGGTAGTAGCACTAGGGAGGCAAAGGCAGGCGATTCTCTGTGAGTTCGAGGCCAGCCTGGTCTATAGGGCGAGACCCCAGGACAGGCTCTAAAGCTACACAGAGAAACCCTGTCTCTAAAAGTGGGAGGTATGGGTTGAGGGAAATCAGATGAAATGGACTAATTGAGCTCAGGCCCGAGTTTTATTATAGAAGTATAGCTTTTTCTGTCAGCAATTCTCAACTTACTTTTTTGTTTTCTTCTAGCCTTACGGCTTGGGGAGTTGTAGGAACTGGAAATATGAGTAGACCCATGGTCTGGAAATGTTCTGTGTCCACTGCAGACCGCTGGCTTCCTTTAAGAGTTCTTGATGAAAACGAAGCTGTTTCTCCAAAGCTGCTTTTTGCCTAAGGAGACAACCCACCCCAGTTCCAGAAATGGTTTAGCATTCAGTCTTTTTTTTTTTTTTTTGGTTTTTCCAGATAGGGTTTCTCTGTGGCTGTTGGAGTGTGTCCTGGAACTAGCTCTTGTAGACCAGGCTGTCCTCGAGCTCACAGAGATCCGCCTGCCTCTGCCTCCTGAGTGCTGGGACTAAAGGCGTGCACTCAGTCTTGTAAGTTGGTAGAGTTTTGGATTTGGGTTGTGGGTTTTAGTGGATGATCATACTCTGTTCATTTAGTGCCTTTACATGAGACATTTGGGCATCATGAGAGTCCTATTAGGAAGAGGGGAAGTGGTCATTCCCAGTTTTTAAACTTGTGTTGCTGGAAGGGATTCCTTTGCTTGTTTGCTTGCTTTATTTAGGTTTGTTTGTTTGTTTGTTTGTTTGTTTGTTTTTGAGACAGGGTCTCCCTATGTAGCCCTGGCTGTCCTGGAAATTCACAGGCTTAATCCCCTGAGTGCTAGGATTAAAGTGGACCCCCTTGCTTTAGAGACGAGGAAACAGTCTAGAGAAGTTAAGTACAGGGGCGGAAGTCACAGGTAGAGATGAAGTCAGGTCGGTCGGCACTGGGTTCTAGCCCTTGGAGGAATGAGACAGCCCATTACCCCTTAGTTGCTCAGCTACCTGAACTGGTTTTATTTACATAATCGTTTAGTACCTCGATAATGCCTGTCAGTTTTTCATGGAAAGTTGGGGTTCTAGGAGCTTGCTTTCTGTCGTACTACTGCTGCTACGATACACGATGTCTAGACTATTGAAGCTGAATTAGGACTTTTCTAATCCCCCACTTTGTAATGCCCCTGACCTCTGAAGAAAGTCCAGGGAAGGAGCGACTCAAGGTTAATGAAGTCTTGAGAGTTCTGGTGCCTTCTCTTTAGAGAAGATTAGAGTCCATTTAATTTGTGGAAAATTAGAAATCAATGGAGTATTTACATTTAGTGTTGGAGACATGATTTCCTAGTTTGTACCTCGTCTATCCTGACAGTTTTGATAAAGAATCTGGCTGCAATTCTCCCAGGAGCCCTTCAAGGTTCCTGCTGCCACTGCCCCCCAAGTGCCGCAGCTACAGAACTGTGCCACCACACCTCGCTCACCTTCCCATTTCTGTGGTGGTAAAAGATCAAAGTGCTCTTGGCCCCAGGTAAGAAGGAACTGTAGTTCCTTCTGGTCTTGGCATAACTCCCTGGCTTCATCCAAAGTACCACTTTTCACCCTCATCCCAGCAATGCCGGGCTTCTGTTTAACAGGTCACATGACAAGCTTTCTGTCACATCTTTCTAGTTTTCCCGTATAGCATTTTGTAGCTAGCCTAAAAAACAAACATGGCGGGGTGTGATGGTACATGCCTTTAATCCCAGCAGTGGGGAGGCAGAGACAGG